GGTGGGTGTGGTGGGTGTGGCAGAGTCTTAACTTTTATAAAGAATATCTCTTTGGTTTTGAGACTTTAGTCTCAGGGATCTATTAACTAGTTGGTTATTAGCATGAATATTACTGGGATATTGGCTGTTTATTATTACTTAAAAAGCACATATTAATGTCTTATTCTAAATCCATAATCCCACCCAATTGTTAAACTTTACAGCTACTTTACTAAGTATTAATAAGCAGTAATTAGGAGTATTTTGAGGCAAAAGTCATAGTTAATAGTTAGTTAATAGTGAGAATTGGACTCTAATCTAAAGTGTGACCAGAATAATTTATGTAGTTATCTATTATTTATTTGAATTAAAAGAACTGTTTCATGTCTATCCTTGTATCATTTACTTGTGGAGGTTGATATAGGATTTAGAAAGTAATTAGTAATAAGTAATTAAATACTTTTTGGAGAGAGTAATTTTACAGTAATCTAATTACACTGTTGAAGATGTAATTAGTAACTAGTAATTAATTACTTTTTTAGAGTAACTTACCCAACACTGCATCTGTATAGCAGTGGAACTCAATGTCATAACTGCACATAATTTGACCCAGGGGTAACATGTAGACAGTAAATAGAAGGGGACCCAAAATAAATCCCCGAGGGACCCCACAAAACAAAGGAGCACGAGAAGAGGAGGAATCTCCAAGCACTAAGGAAAAAGACCTATTCGACAAATAAGAAATAAACCTCTGAGAATTTTTGGAGAAATTAAATTGTTCTCTAAAATGCTTGGTAATGGCAGCGTTGTGCACAGTGAATCGTTATAAAAATACACAAAAAGTTTAAATTATTCTAATATAAGTAAAATAAGTACTTAGTAAAGGTGCAAAGATGATTTGTGGTTAGTGAGATATTTATTTATTAAGAGATAAATGTATACTTTTATTCAGCAAGAAAGCATTAAATTAATTAAAAAATGAGAGTAAATACTTAAGTAAAGTATTTATAATTTTACAAAGGATTTCTATTTCAAATGAATACTGTTCTTACAACGTTTTGTTGAAAGAATCCTGAAGTTAAATAAAAAATACTTCTGCATGTTCCACACAACCATTTTCAACTACTACTACTACTAATAATAATAATAACAATAACAATAGTAAATGTTTCTTGAGTACCAAATCAGCATAAAAGGATGATTTAAGGATGTGACAATGAAAACTGTAGCAATGATCAAAAAATAAAATATATTAAAATTTAAAAAACAGTTCTAAATTGTAATAATATTTCACAGTATTACTGCTTTTGATTGTATTTTTGACTATCATAAGATAAATATCTTACTGACCCCAAACTTTTGAATAGAAGAGTATATAAAAATCTTAGAATTACATATAGCCTAATATCTATTATCTTCATATTAAAGATAATAAACCTTTCACAATAAAAATCAATTAATATCACAATTTAAATGTGCAAACCCACTGCACACTTTGAGATTTTTACCATTATTTTTTGCAAATTTTACTTGTCATATTGTCTAATATAACATCTTGGGTAAATAAATCTCTTGGGTAAATGTCACTGGAGACTGTGTGAAATCAACTGTCAGAATGTGTGATACAGATCTCAGGACTTTAGTCACGATTGACAGCGTAGAATGTGTGATCAATCATCTCACATTTTGACATCCCCATTGACAAACAGAACTGAAATGATATTGCACAAACACAAGCAAGCCCTTGAGCAAATGTCAGTAATGTTTCGCCCTGAGATTAGAGGAAGCGTTCGACAGCCCAAATCGTACAGTGTGCACCAGGCTTTAGTTTAAAACACGTACAACCACCAGTATAGGGTCCGTTCTTTTAATACTCACAGTCTCTGGAGTCCTGTGTACAGTTCCATGTCAACATCCTTAAGAATCTGCAATCCTGTCCAGTTCTCTATGTGTCTACAAAAGAAAGAGAGAAAATATTGAAAACAGCACCATTACCACCAATTTATTCAAGCAGGGGATATGTGTTTTTCCGCTTGATGGCTGGGGCAGGAAACCAATGGAAAGTCTCTGGAGTTTTGAAATATGTATCATAGTTCAGCGAGTGCTCGTGAAACATTCCTCTCAAAGGCATTGTTGTGTTGGTTAGGCAGATGGCCTAAGGGTGCGGTTACTTGCAAAGCACACCATGAAATAATTAGCAAAACAATTTGTTTCTCCCTAGACTGTAATGTCAAATGCATAGAACATGTGGGGAGCATAAAGATAATTATCATGTATACTGTGTAGAACAACAAGAGACATAAGTCAGCTTGTATATGAGAGAACAGGGATCACTGTAGCATTCAGTAAATGTATGGTCCGAAATATAACGCACAGTGCACTCATTATAGCCATATCATGTGCAAGCTTAGTTTAAACCTCCTAAATCTCATCCCCCAAATTATTTGCACTACTGTTCAAAAGTGTGGGGTAAGCAAAATAAAAAAAGAAATAAAAGAAATAAAGAAATTATTTAAATTAATACTCTTATTCAGCAAGGACAAAAGTGATAGAAAGGACTCTTACATTTTTAGAAAAAATGCTGTTCTTTTGAAGTTTATATTTAGAATTCTAAAAAGAAAAAATCCTTGATTATGGTTTTCACAAAAACATTATGCAGCACAAACATTTTCAGCATTGATAATATTAAGAAATGTTTCTTGAGCAGCAAATCAGCATATTAGAATGATTTCTGAAAGATTGTGTGACACTGAAGACTGGAGTATTGATGCTGAAATCAATAATAAGCTTTGCATCACAGGAATAAATTTCATTTTAAAATACATTCAAATAGAAAACATTTACATTTTTAAAATATTCATCATTATTACTTTTATCAAATAAATGCAGCCTTCTTTTAAAAACATCTTACCGACCAAGCTTTCAAACAATAGTGTATATTATAAATATAAATAACACTCCAAAGAGAAAGGAAAACTTGAAATCGCATCATATGACCCCTTTAAGATTATAGATATTTTTCATTTTCTGTTACAATTACACAGCATTTGTTTTATGAATTTAATTTGGTCCTTTGTGTATTTTTTGTTTGTTCAATAGTCTATGATTTAATTGACGTGAGTAATGACAGATAAACTTTTAGAAAAATTGTTGGAAGCATTTATTGTCCACCAGGAAAAATTGCAGTCCGATTTCTTGGAAAAGTAATAAAGCACCTCTCCTGAACAAGCCACACAATTTGACATATCATTAATTTCCGTAGTAAAAACGTGCTGGATAAATTATATGCTGAAGTTTAATACTTAGGGTTGAGGTTTGTTCAAACAACTGACCCTAAGTATAAGCAACAGTAAATGTGATTTAAATGCATAAAAATATGCTGATAAACATCCAGCAATGCAAGAAAAACATGTTTACATGAGATTTTAAAATCACAGTTTTTTTTTCTTTTTTCTGTCCTGATGTCAAAACATTAACAGACATTAACACTTTAAATAAATAAACAGCATGTTTAAAAAGGCGTTTACATGCAAAATAAAACTGTGGTAGGGTGGCAAAAAAAAGTCGAGGAGTGTCAATCAAGTTCAATCACATTTAGACTAAACCTTTTCTGAATGAATCTAAATATCCAAGTGAAAAAAATAAATAATAACTAAAATTGACAATTATTCTCACTCTCCCTTACCGTGGCACTGAAACACCATTATCAGTGTCAGAATCTACTGTTAGAAAACATGCTTCCATTTAAATTCAGCTATTGCCAGGGCATGCGGCACTGCCTTTATTTCCTATTCCACAGGCTTCTTATCTGCCAGCTAAAACAAACACAATCTGGACAGAAGTGTTCCAAGCAGGAGAAATCACAGATGTGCCGCTGACAGAACACAACCACACACAGAAGCAAACATGCTTGATGATCCACACACACCCTGACAATGCCACCAGCCCCTAGAAGCACAGTCTAGCACAGTACATCAGGTAGATTTAATGTTTCTGTTTACAGCAGTGGAGAGAGTGACACTTTACAAATGAGTCGCACTGCAGTTAATGTAATACAGCAGAGGCCTTGCTACTTTACTGCCCATTGGTTTTATACAGCGTCCTCAGGTCACTAATTTCCCCAAAGAGCATTGACTGAGCTCACCACTGAACCATGTCTAAAACCAGTCGAGGATCACTGGTTTTGCTTCGGGAGCCAGACTTTACATTGGTCATCATGTGGGAAGTTCAGTTTACATTAATGTAATATACTTCATATATATGTATGTATGTATACAGTTTAACAATTATTTTAAGTTATTTTATGTATATATAATATGCAAATCAGACATTACATGCTGGATGCAAATAAATCTATAACACTACTAATTTATTTATTTATTTATTTATCTATTTATTTATTTATTTATGGGCTGTAAAGTCAATTAATTGTGATTAATTGCATCCAAAATAAAAGTTTGTGTTTACATAATATAAGTGTGTGTACTGTGTATATTTATATGTACAGTAAATATATATAATAAATATGTATGTAAGAAATATATGTAATATGTAATATAAATCATATATATATAAATAAATAATATATATATATACATACATACATATATACATGTAAATATTTCTTAAAACAGCACAAACACATATATTATGTAAACACAAAATTTTATTTTAGATGCAATTAATCATGATCAATTTGACAGCCCTAATTGATTTATTTATACATTAGTTTATTATAAAAGTAATAAATTCTTAAATATATCAAATGTAATTCTAAAAATAAAATATACATTTTTCCCAACATTGCTAACAGTCTCCATCTCTTTTTTTTCTTACTAAACAAATTGATCTCTTTTAGTTGAGTGATTTACAAATAATATACAAATCGGTTGACCGACTCATTACAACAAATAAAGAATAGTTTGTTTATTAATCAAAGTAATTTATAACAATACTTTGACATAGTATACATTCATATAAAAAATTGTTAAATTATGAAAAATATTCATATTTGCCAGTATTGCAAACAATAGTGTCCCCACCTCATTTTTATTGCTAAACAAACGTATCCCTTTTAGTTGAGGGATTTACATAAAATGCAAAGCAGTTACACAGAATGTTTTGTTCATTAATCAGACATTGCTTACTAGATACAGAGAAGTCTATAACAATACTTTAACAATTATTTTTATATGTATGCATTTATAAAATGGGTAAATTATAAATAATATTAATAATTCACAATATTGCTAACAGTGTCCCCAACTAAATTTTATTGCTAAACAAATTTATCCTGTTTAGTTTAGTGATTAACATAATAGTAATCAGCAAGACTGACTTGTTAAAAAATAAATAAACAAATAAATAACAACAAATTAAATATATATACTGTCTGGATAGCATTGCTGTGATCCAGATGCATTGGATCAACCATGTTTATATATGTGCACATCCTAAACCATGTGAATCATTCAAATCAGTCAAAGGCTCTGAACATGTTTCATTTTAGCATCTGATGAAAAGCCTCTCTCAGGCTGTGCACAAGTTCATGGCTGTTTTCTCCATAATCTTCTCTCTAGTCTCTCCATTGTTCCCAAAATCCATGCCTGGGCATGATTAATGACTTTGTTTAAATGATCTACAGCACAAGTACATAGAGCTCAATGGAAGAACATTTAATCAAATAGATTGTCTCAGGTGTGCTCTTCAGGCATTGATTGTCAACTTCCTTTTCATCTCAGAGTCAGGCTTTGAGTAAAGAACCCTAAAAAGCCAGAAACAACGTTTTTCTATTATCATTTACTTCTATTCCAAGAATAAAAATGCTGAAGAGCACAATTATGAATTTAACCAATGAAATGATTTCAAATATTATAATAGCAATTACAGCAACCATATCTGTAGAAAGGTACAATATATTTCACCATGACTGCTTGAGTTAAACATAATGTTTTACTCTTCACAGATTCTTTACTGGCCTTCCTTCTACTTCCACATAACATCTGAATAAATGTAATTATTCAGAGACAGGTGTACAACATGCCTAATTAATAATGGATCTAATCGATGAAATTACAGCTGGCCTCCATCTGTTGCTGATTTCAGCTTTTCAATCCAGGATTTACATTTCCGGTGTATAAAAACAACATGCCTCACCTTTACCGCTAACAAGGTATGAATCATCTGTAGGTGCCTGCTTACTGATTTGCATTTTAAACTCTGGAAATATATGTGGCTTTATGTGAGACAGCACTTCTGAGGGTTTGTTAGCATTTGTTACATGGCAGTTAGAGTATGCAGGATATTTTTTTCTAAATGAAGAACATCTGTAATTACAAGCAGTTGCATTTACATTTTCTGAAGAAAATGTGAGTGGAGTTTGTCCGCCCCAGTGCTAGGGTTTTATAGAGGGTTGCCAGGCCACTGCTATGTGTTTTCCTAAGGCTCTCTGACTGGTTGTTTGCATGTTGCCAGGGTGTTCTGAATACTAGGTGTTTGCTACTGTATAGTGTTCAAGATGGTCAACAGAACAAAGTCACAACTCTCCTGTACATGTCACATTGTTTGAGGTATCAAAAAGGAGCACATTACAAAAATTACAACAATCCAAGAATGTGCTGACATGAGACTTTCTGTCATATGCTCTGTCATACACGCGTTCACGAGAGAGTTGCGTTCCAGCAGATGACGTAGGCATAACGTGTGACGAATGTGGAAGTGCAGAAGTCAGAGCAAAACAAAACACTGGTCATGAATTAGAAGTACAAAATGAGGATTTGTAAAGAAAACTGTTGGAGAATTTCGATATAAGCCAAAAGGAGACTGGATTTCCTTTGCTGTAAGCAAAACATGGTTCTCGTGAGACTAGCATATTCTCACCGGAGCCAGGACATTTTTTAATATAACTGCGATTGTATTCGTCTGAAAGAAAAAAGTCATATTGGATGGCTTGA